CAGCTTCTCGCTCATTCCCAGAGCTTCAATCACCCTTCCGTTTCTGCATACTTTTGCTCTTTGGTCTGTTACTTTGTCATTCTATAGGTATTCATAACAAAATCGTTTGACCTTAGAAGTCAGAACTTAACCTCATACGGACTGCATGAAATTGCTATTAGTTCTTCTTCTTCCTTCCTTCCTTCCTTCCTTCCTTCCTCCTCCTCCTCCTCCCCCTCCTCCCCCCCTCCTCCCCCTCCCCCCCCCCCCTCCTCCTCCTCCTCCTCCTCCTCCTCCTCCTCCTCTTCTAAAACTAGATAACTAACTCTCAAATAATCCGTACTACTAATTATATTATATATTGCCACGGTTAAGATGCATTCACTCTAACTTTGTATGTGTCTCCCTGTTCTCCCTTAAATTAATCCTACAATTTCAACATTTATCAATAGCCTTCTTCACATTGATAAAAATGCTCATAAAGTGTTTGCAGAAATGCCTAGGTGAACCATTGTTTGTCAATTAACAAATATCTCTTTAATTTCAACAAAATGTTTCTTGAGTTGTGTATGCGTGTTTGTAGACTACACCAAATTATATTCATCATACCACATTAAAATCATCCTACACTTACTTCACAAATGCACAAAGATGTATAAACATACAAAATGTTCACGACCTACCAATCACAATATACATTTTCATATTACAAATCACTCGAACATATACATTTTCATATTACAAATTACTTGAACATAATACTATGTGTCATTAGTTGAACGTAAATCTCTATTATGAATTTGTTCATATCATTAATCAATAACCAGCCGTATGCTTTATTTTTATTTATTTTTTTGAACAAGAGACCTCGCAGTGGACCTTTCCCAAAAAGATAATGAAACACACAAATCTAAAGAGAGGAAATACATCAAGAAGATCAACTTTAGAGTCCAAAGTTTAAGTTATGATAGCACACAAAATCTTTTATATAAAGAAGGTGAAATAAAATTGCTCTTTGGATATATGGAGGCCATTGAGTAGCATCCGGTTTGTTTTCCTTGAATCTTGCCAATGCCGTTATAGTTCGGAGCGGTGTTTCAAATTTGTAATCTTCTTCGTATCTAATGTAGGTATTCCCATTATTTTGTGCTTGATTCCTCGTCTTCATTGGGTGGTCATACTGAAGTTGCTGTAGATTACATTCTGCTTGAGGAAAACTATCATTGGGACCTGCATCGTATAGTCTCCGAGGGTGAGTGAAATGTAGGCGTTGGTAAGAGCCCTTCTGTTGTTATAGATAATAAACCATATTTATTTGTTGCAATATAATTATTCCTTCAGTCAACTCATTATTTTGGTCCCTAGAGATCAGGTTATCATTGGAGACAGTTTGGTGAGATTCAAAACTACTAGGGACTGCCTTGTTCAGGCCAATTGCAGGGGTTTCATCAGACCTGACCCGGTTAATCAAATGATCAAGAGAGACTTCTCCCAAATAAGTTGTGGTAGTTTAAGGGCTAAGATCAACCTTGTAAACATGTTGCTCCAAAGAAAGTGAGAGGTTCATCATTTACCACGTTTTCCAGGATTGCAACTTGATCAGTGTGCTCAAGGGTAGGCTGGGCAAAGATTAGGAAACATGAGTCCTGAAGACTTGCTTTATCATTATCATTAGAGGGTTGTAAGCTAGGAGTTAATTAAGTTCGAACACAAAGGAATGGTTAAATTCGCAGCTTGTGTAGTATCTAAAGGGAGAGAATTGGGATCTAAATGCCCAAAAGAAGCATTTAAAATCCCAGTCTCTTCAACCTGTGACTGATCAATGTTATCCTGGATTGGGAGGACGTATTTTGTGTTTGTAAGTCATGGAGTTTGGCAATCTAATTTTCCATCAGTGATAACATGATTTAAGGCATTAGTGTTGATCAATTTAAATGAAGAAACCTCAATGATAGCTTCATCTATATCAAAGGTATGAATGTATGATTTACCATTAATGATGTTTGTTTAACAGGTCAATCTAGGAACTTTCCTGGTATTGCAAACATTTTTAAGAGAAACAAACATGGTACATTAAAATTTTAATTAATTTGCATTGTTAATACAGGTCTTTGCATATATACTTTTGAGAAAAATAAAATAAAAACAATTTTGTAGTGAAGTGTGAACAATTAGCCAAAATAGCCTTTCAATACATTAAACTATTTTCACTAACACATTTTTCCTAGCAAATACCGCATTAAAAGCCTCCTTGTAATTTTAAATATTACTCAGTAATATGGAAAAACAGAGGGAGTACATGTTATACTTGGAGTGTTTCAAGCAAACTCCAACTGTTAAAAATAGATATTGTCAGGAACAATTTTTTTGGTGAGGTGGCCACGTACATGATATTTATTTGCAATCTATTCAGGGCATTTATAGAGAAAAGTCCATTTTCAGGTCAAATAGTTTGGGCATCTCCACAATTTTTTCCATTTATAGCGAAGTTGTCCTAAATTTCATAACTATTTAATCATACATTGGGCACAAATCGCACGTAGTGCGTATTCTGCTAGTAATGTGCATAAGCTTCAATTCATTTTTTAATAGAACCCATTGTAGATGAAACTAAATTTCAAAATTATGAGAAGTTTTATATTTTGAGATTTGGTTCTCTAATACGAGAAGTAAAATATTCATCGACAATAGAATGATAACAAAATGGCAACTTTGAGTATGACAAACATGATATATATGATACTTGTTCATGTGCGAGTTCAGAACCAATAAAAAATACCTTCTAAATCACAAGTATTATTGCCAATAGCATGAGAATAGTAGTAAAGAGAATGGAAACTACAGACCTCTACAATTAGGGGTGGGCATGAGTCGGGACGGTTCGGGATTAGGGTTATCCCGGTCCCGTCCCAATTAATAATAATGGGACGGGACGGTACGGGACAAGCCTTTGTCCCAGTCTTGTCCCATTTAAATCGGGACCGGGATGATTCGGAACAGTTCGGGACGGTTCGGGACGTCCCAAACTAACAAAAAATAATCATTTGTAACTAATATATATCAGCATTTCTAAAATATCATGCACCAAAATATTAACATTTAAAAAGTTAATTGATGTTCATCACAAGCTAAAAGCTACTATGTATTAGATTTTAGTTAGGTTTAGCAAATTTTGAAATTTAAATTTAAAACAAAGCAAAAATGAATTAGTTTATTCAAAATCATGTGTTCTAGTTGTAAGATAGTCATATGTTGATATATAAAGTGAGGTAAAAACCTATGTTAGTAATTATTTTTAATTTAAAAATTGGGCTTGAAAAACTAAAAACATGTTATCATTTATTTTTTGAGTTGACATTACAAACTAGTCACATGCTACAAAATCTATATAGTTATTACAAACGGGACAACGGAACGGTTCGGGATAACCTTCCAATGTCCCGGTTCCGTCCCGTTTTAAACCGGTACGGGACCGGTGCGGGACAAAATCAATGAGACCCAAACGGAACGGGACAACACCGGTACGGTTTCGGGATATACCGGAATGGGACAACGGGACTGGGATTCTTGCCCGCCCCTATCTACAATCATTGAAGTTCTACATGCATATATTCTTCATCTAATAGTTGCAAAAACTTGTGATCAAACAGTTAAAGAAAATAATGAAATGTAGAGTGTAAATGCCCCTGAAAAGGAAAATAATCTCAACTATAAACAAAGTGCAGTTTTTTGTTGGTAAATTTGATCTAGGAATGCCATAGCTAATTCACAGGGCATAAAAACCATCAATTTAAACCTTAAAATCGATAAGGTAACCCCGGTCTCTCAAGACTTTCCAGGGGCAAATTAGATCATGAGATATGCACATTGTTCCCATGTTCCTAATATCTTCAACTTTTGTTAACAAAGAGTTGCTCCCAAGTGATCGCTCGCTAATTAGGAGACCTCCTTCAATCCAGTCGTTGGTTCTCACCAAGGCCAATCACCCACATAGCCACATATATCCCCAATATAAAAAATTCAACATAAGGGCTCTCACGGACCTTGAACATGTGAGCTTTGTTTTTCTTATTATCATCAGGTGGTCCTGACTTTGTCAAATTTAAAAGAATCCACCCAAATCATTGAGAGATATAAATCCGAGTCTCTCAATCTGCTACGTTTCCACCGCCGTCTATACACCATAGAGCACAAGAACTCACTCTTAATTGATTGATTACTTGCGTCATCAAGTTCATAACATAGGTCCTAGAGAATCGACATTGATTGGTCAAATACAACCGTTTCTCAACAATAAGTTAACTCCAACACTTCTGTTTGAGACAAGACGAAACATTGATTGCACGACCACTCAAACTAGCCCTAGGGGCTAGATTATCATTTGGGAAACCCCCAAATTCACATTACTTGAAGTCACGACACCCCACACAAGGAGGAACTTAAATGTGGGAGGTGGTCCACTTGGGTCTTGACAAAGTAAGGAGATTATATAAGACATAATTTCAATTAGGGATAGGTGTATATGTAGAGGTTTTTGTGACAATTCGTTTGAATCATCATCATCGTCATAAACACGTTAATGTCCTAATAAAAACAGAGTCATATTTTTTCATGGTAAAGTTTAGAATATTTGCTATTATTTTGTTAGTCTTCTAATGGACACAAGTTATCACATAAAGGGGTGATAATAGGATTGTCATGTTTTTATTCTCAAAATATGAGTAATTATTGTTAAACTTGAAAAATACTGTCATGTTTAAGATTTGATACTGTTAAAACATGATAATAATTAGTCATATTTCGGGAATAAAAACATATAATTCTATTTTGAAATGTACAACATTTTTAGTCCTAAGGTAATTTCCCGAAGGTTTTATGACTAAAGTAATGTAAGATCTCCAACTACAATTTGACAATCAGCCCATGGGTGTGGGGGCAGTAGGGGCTGGCTGAAGTTATGACTTCATAGTCAAGAGGGGAGGGGAGTCCCATATTCTATTTATTGAAAAAGGCAGCAATCACATGATTTGTGCCCATGGGGAGACCCTTTTACTTTTCCACCCTTCCTTAAAATTAATACTACGACTCTTTCCATAATTCCATTTTCCACCCGAAAATTGAAATTAATATTTTCCAATAGGAAGGAAATATTCGTACATCGCCCCTCATCCCTTCCGCTCTGTGCATTCATTCATCTCCCCTGCAGTTACTCTTCGGCCTACCGCTTCACGAGCTCACACGGCGTTATCTGTTTCGACTCTGTGAGTAACAAATCTGAGAATTCATTCTTACTTTCTATCTATATTTGGAAGATGGGTGCATGTCTGTGCTATGGAATAGACTCAATAGAGCGAAATACAGTCTTTGATACTTGAATATACTTAAGTTCAAGGAAAAGATTAAATATTTGGAGTTTTTCAGGTTTTAGTATGGGATCTTAGCAAGGTTTTGGGGATTGTGTGGTAGCTTAGTATCTTATTATACTCTGAAGTTCTGCTATTGGTTATCACATACTTCTTGAACTTTAGTTGTCTGATTAGCCCCTTTTACAGGTGAAACGTTGGACTGAGGGTCAATATGCTCATTTATAGATTGGCTCTGGTCAGCATAAACGGCCATCTTAGTTTGTAGTTTTCACAATAGTTCTGATATATGTGAGATTTGATACTAAAGCCTAAAAGTTGGAATGCTGGGAAAAGAAGACACTTCCTGTCCTGAAGGAGAAGGTGATAGTGGGAGTAGTGATTTGAGGGGGCCATGCCAAATCTCAAGTGGCCGAAGAATGTATTGGCGGTCAGCTTCATGGTCCTCTTCAAGGACTTCATTGCCTCCACTGAACCCGGACATTGACAAAGACAGTTTAGATCCAAATGGCAATAGTAGCGCGCATAGTCTGGGGCCATTAACCCCTAGGTCATCTCAACATAATTTTAAAGGAAGATCATGTCTTCCACCTCTGGCAATTGCTCGTAGGAGTCTAGATGAGTGGCCGAGAGCAGGGTCTGATGACATCGGGGAGTGGCCGCTTCCTTGTACTCCTAGTGGGAGGGATTCAAGCAACAACTGCGAGAGGCTCAAGCTTGATCTTTCAAATATACCTAAACATACAGAGAAAAATGGAGGTCTTGTTAAAAGAGAAAAGATTGCTTTTTTTGACAAGGAGTGCTCAAAGGTCGCTGATCACATCTATCTTGGTGGGGATGCGGTTGCCAAGGACAGGGAAATTCTTAAAAAGAATGGAATCACCCATATTCTTAACTGTGTAGGCTTTGTTTGCCCTGAGTATTTCAAGTCCGATTTTGCTTACAGGACTTTGTGGTTGCAGGATAGCCCATCAGAGGATATTACTAGCATTCTCTATGACGTGTTTGACTACTTTGAGGATGTTAGGGAACAAAATGGTAGGGTTTTCGTTCATTGTTGCCAGGGGGTTTCTAGGTCTACGTCGTTGGTGATTGCTTATCGTATGTGGAGAGAAGGACAAAGTTTTGATGATGCCTTTCAGTATGTGAAGGCAGCCAGGGGGATCGCTGATCCAAATATGGGCTTTGCTTGCCAATTACTGCAGTGCCAGAAAAGGGTGCATGCTTTTCCTTTGAGCCCCAGCTCATTACTAAGAATGTATAGAATTGCGCCACATTCACCATATGATCCATTACATCTTGTCCCGAAAATGTTAAATGATCCATCTCCATCGGCTTTGGATTCCAGAGGTGCATTTATAATACACATGCCTTCTGCAATATATGTTTGGATTGGCAAGAAATGTGAAGCAATCATGGAAAGAGATGCCAGAAGTTCTGTTTGCCAAATCGCTCGCTATGAGAAAGTGCAGGGACCAATAGGAATGATATGTGAGGGAGAGGAGCCTTCTTACTTCTGGGATGCTTTTTCCAATCTGATGCCATTAATGGACAAATCTAACAAAGGGGTTGATGGTGGTGGGTCGTTGATAAAAGTATGTCCAGGAAGACGGATTGTGGACACATATGATATTGACTTTGAAATTTTTCACAAGGCTATTGTTGGTGGGTTTGCACCTCCTTGTGCTTCATCTGAGACTGAACATGAGACCAGCCTGCCTGTCAGGGAAAGCTCATGGAGTGTGTTGAGGCGTAAGTTTGTTTCTGGTAACATGAAGGATTTCATATCTGCTTCAAAACAGGGCCTCTTGAAAGTCTACCCTGATTCCATGTGTATAGTAGCTGATAATTCAGCATCTAAACAGTTGCATTCTTCTTTTCTATCCTCATCATCAACTTCTTCACCTTCTCCACCATCAGTTTCCTTATCTTTATCATCATCGTTTTCTTCTTCATCATCCTCATCGTCGACCTCATCACCACCTTATCTTTCCCCAGATTCATTCTCTTCTGATTCGAGCATTAGTTCTTCACGATGTTCTGATTCACCTGCAGTATCTTCTCCAGTTGCCCCCTGTGCAGATTTTGCATCTTCACCTCTATCTAGATTTTCTGATATGTCCCTTCTTCCATCGAAGATTTCTCCAAAGTCAATATCTAGAACTACAATGTATATTGATGTGAATTTTACTCCACGTTCTTCACAATCAACTTCTACGCAATCTAGAAAGCTCCCGCTCTCTATTGCTGAAAGGAGAGGCTCTTCAAAGTGCTTGAAGCTACCCGCGTTGACTGATGACTCTCTGGGGAAAGATACCCTTCCAAGTATTTATTTCAGCACACAAGATGGCATTGGTGTGACATATGAACCCAGCTTAGGAAATGAGTCACTTAGGACGGAAGGCATTTTAGAGCCTCATAGAGGGGCAAACGCAAGTAAAGAAGCTGACTCACTTAGGATTTCAGATATTGTAGTAAAAAATGATTCTCTCTTTGAAGATGTTATATCCAGCACCCGTAATAAGAGGGAAAAACATGCTTCTGGAGAAAATCATGTGCTAATCTTTAATGGACTGTCTGATAGTCATCAAAATAACCTTTTGCAACCTTTAGTATTTCAGTGGCCCAACTTGGAAAAGGTTGAACATTTGAGTGCCGATGATTTAGACTCCAGTTCTGTATATATTTTTGTTACATCTAGACCACAATTTAAAAATGTCGAGGATAGGATTTTATATTTTTGGGTAGGAAGCTCATTCAGATGCAAGTCCAGTAAAAAATTCTCCGGGAACTGGCAAAGGCTATGTGACTCAGAAGAAATTGAATGGGGAAAAGTTACTTCTGATGCCCTTCACCGAATGGGACTACCATTGGATACTGACATCAAGGTATGCCAGTTTTCTAAATTCTCATACACTTGTAGTCCTCTTTATGCTTTTAACTCTTTGCATTGATGAGTCTTTTCATTTTTAAAGGAGATCCCATTGCCCTAGCACTTGAATTTCTTGATTTCCTGCATTTAAGCTTGATTCAGGAGAGCCTGTCCATACTTCTCTTCAGGAAGTTACCTCAGAGCGGGCCTCTGCTAGTAGTCTCAGTTGGTAACTACTACTCTGCCCCACCAGATTTGGGACTTGGAGTTTGACACTAATATTAAAAAAGTGGAATTGTGCGATTAATATTGATTTGCAAAAGAGTGTTTATGAGCCACAAAATATAGCCAAATGTGGTATTGGGCAAACATTTTGGATGGCCTAAGAAGGAAAGATAGGCACACAAAGTCACAAACCAAGGAGGAAGTATGTAATATGACTAATATCAGTATATTGCTTCACAATTATGAGTTGATGCAAAATTAGTGCATTTTAGATTTTTAGGGTAGTTATGTACTTTACGTTAGCCTTGTCCCTGGTTCTGAATCGGAATGGAAACCGTAGTGGTGATTCCCGGTTCCAATTTTTGGGGAACCAGAACGGGCAACACCACACAATACAAATTTCATAATCGGCATTTTTGGTTCAGTTTTGGGATAATTTTCCGTTTTTTATTTTATATTTTAGATTTAATAAATAATAAATAGAATTAATTAAGTATATATTTTAAAATCGAATAAGTAATACTACTTCTGCCCCACTAGGATTGGGACATGAGAAAATGATGCAATTATTAAAAACGATGAGTTTGTGTGCTTGGTAGTGAATTAGCAAAGTAGGAATAAAGTAAAAATGAATTAGAAACACACAAGTATTACCAAATATGGTATGTGACAAGCTTAGTGAGATGAATGACAATGAAAAGATGGGACAAAGATAGTTAAAATATAAGAGTTTCAATTTATTTATGACTACTAACTATCATTGTTATAACTAAGTATTATGCTCCGTAATTAAAATCCAACCAAGTACTTATAAATTAGGTACTACAAGGTAGCACTTAACATAATTTAGTTATTAGTACACAATGCATACTAAATACTAGAGTAATAATTGTTATGAAGGTGTATTATGAACTATGTAATAAGTAATATAATAATTAATAATCAGTTGAATACTGCAACTACACTTATTGTTATTGTAGTACTATTACAATTATCATTAGGAAAATTTCCCAGAATTGGAGTAAAAGAAGGTGATTCCTCTAATAGGAGTAGAGTATGTGTTCCCCCCAAGTAGGAGTAGAATATTGCAATTTTGAGTAGAATAATGCCATATTATTGCATTACCAGGCATTAATATGACAGTATTAGCGCCATATTATGCTAGTCTTTTTCAGTATGACAGTAGTTTCTTCTATTTAGGGGAAAACATAGACTCCTATCATACTACCACTATGGTTGTCATTGTTGTTATTATTACTTCCCCCCATAGTAGTCAATGGCTAGATATGGCGCGTGCCATATGCGCCATCGCCATGAAAAACTGGTCGTCGCCATAGCGCCATATGCGCTCTATGCGCCATTCATATACGCGCCATCGCCATGCGCCATAAAAATGCCTTTGAGCCATGGCGATCGCCGTGCGCCATGACCACTATGCTTCCCCCGTCCTGTGATGTGCGATACACTTGGTTTGGTGCGAGTTTTCAAAAATAAAGGAGTAAGTTGTTTTACAATTGTAACTTTCAAAAAGTAAGATGAGTCCATAAAAAATAAAAGTTGAAATGATAGATAATGGAATAAAGTAGGCAAGTAAAAAATTAATGGAGTTCAATTTATAAGTGTCTCATTTTTGGGACAATCCACAAAGGAAACTATCTTACAAAATGTAACAAAAGGAGTACTCCCTCCGTCCCCCTATTTTTGTCCCATTTTAGTATTTTACTTTTCCGTCTACCCCACTAATTTTGTCCCATACCATATTTGGTAGATTTGGGTGGCTACCATTAATTCTTACTTTATTTATATTTTATCAATTTAATATCAACCACATCATTTCACTTATCTTAAATTCTTAATAACCACACCACTCCATTTTGTCCCAATGTTAGGGGGACGGAGGTAGTATTATTTTTAAGACAACAATTCTGAACCAGAACTGTTTGGTTCGGTTCCAGTTCCAAATTTTTTGATAAATCGAACCCTATTGGTGAACCTTTGGTTGAAACTAGAGATACTCTGCATTTCCAGTTCCGGTTAAAAATCTAGCAGTTTCGGTTCCGGTTTAACCGAAAACTGCAGGACGGGTCTTCTTCAGGGGTTCCTGCCCATTATTAGTTCTTTTTGGAGTGGACACTATATTCACTTGCAAAGATGCTGACTATGAATTAAAATCTACAGGGAAAGTTTTTTAAGGCCTTTAACTTTGAGCTATCTAACCTTTCTTTTGGTATTCTAGCCATTTTTTAGCCTGTGTAATTTCTTCTTTCGTGGCCTGTTTTGATTATAGCGAGTGTGTAGATAAGAAATTACACCTTATGTGGCCCTGTTTTTTGCACCTTTATATTGCATTGGTAAGTGGTTACTGACTTACTGAAGCATTCTGATCCGATGTAGCTTTGCACTATACAGGGTGCATTCTTTTTTTACCTTGTGTTATTAACCCAGTCTTAATTTCTAAATGGCACTTGTGGTGTAGATTGTCAAAGAAAATGAAGAACCGGAGGAGTTGCTATCTTTATTGAATTATTACAAGTAATGATAACATGATATGCGGATAAGAGGCATACAATAATTCCAGTAGAACACACCTCTTGCAAACCTTTTTGAGCATCCACGAGACCACGATGCAATTGTGCCATCCTTGGGAATGACATTAGAGAATATTAAAAGGTACTCTTTGAAACTCTCCAAGGATATTCCTTCTGCATTTTATATACTCCCTCCGTCCCATAAAATTCTTTCCCCTTACCGTTTTGGGATGTTCCAAAAATTCTTCTCATTTCCCTTTTTGGAATGTTTTTGTGTGGCTAACATTCATTTATATTTTTCTTAGTCAAGCACAACCATACATTTCCACTTTATTCTCACTTTCTTAAACTCTGATCCAAGTCAAAACATGAAGAATTTTGTGGGATGGAGGGAGTATAATTGTTTTGCTTTTTACATGGTTTTAGGAGTTAATTGTTATTAGTAATCCAATTATAAAACTTAGGGCTGAGGAAGTGATATACACTTTTTAGAGTGTCAAGTCATTGATTTTGGGAAAGGACTAGAGAGAGAGAGTAGTATGAGCAGACATGGCCATTCTCGTGTCCAACTTTACTTGAAGGGAAAGTGCAACAACCTTTTGATTACACGCTTAAATGGAGAGTGAAACATGTAATAGAAGACATAGGGAGTATGAATGGTGTTCCAACTTTGCTAAGTGTCTTCATCTTTCATCGAGTTGTAATACACTAATACAGAAGCTTGATCACATTAGAAGATTCATTTTTCATTAACTATGTCAATCCCAGTTCAAATAGGATAACCATAACCAAATTTCTATCCTGCATTCTAGAGCCAGACCACTACATGAACCCATAAAGAACATTCTTGATTCATGTTTTCATGAACATATTACTCCGTATCTTCTACTCTTTTTTCTCTCATATGCACCGTACCGTGTGTTCAATGCTCAGGAAGACCCAATGGCATTTTCTAAATGTCATGAGACAGTGGTGAGCTGAAGTAGCTGAATCTTAATAATAATAACATTAAGAGTAATAATATCTATAAGATGCTTTTCTTTTGTTTCTCCTTCAAGGTAAGAAGAATGCATGTTTAGTTCTAAATGTATGGTGTTGCATAACTGCATTTGAATGTTATGGTTTTAAAAGAAATTCAAAAAGTTCATATTTTTAAGTACTTCTGATTTGAAAAATAAATTTACTTATTTCAGGAGCTGCGTTTAAGGTTGCCAGAGGTGTGGTTTGACTAATGGATGTACAGTGCCGCAACCCAATGAGACCTGGGGGAGTTTGCCCCCCTGACTCAATCTGGGTGTACAATTTGGATGACTAAGAAATAGATTACTATTATTATTATTTGCTATTTTTTTTATAAAGACATGTAGATTCTCAAGTAAAATAGCCTCAATTGCAATTTCCATTCTTGACTACAATTGAATTGTACATTTTCATATCCTAATTATATAAAGGCCTCATACTCGGACAGCTACAGCGTTTAAATCCAAAGCTTTGGTTTTCATAGCTTAGCAAGCGTACCTTGAACTCTGAACCTTCTGTATATGCCAATTGCCAAGTCGTTTTAGGGGCTGTTTACTTTTTCCCGTTAAGTTCTGTATGGTTTAAGATGACTTGTCCGTCTTAAGATGTTGTCTGGATTAAGTAGTGGTGGACCGGTTCCGGGCTGGGCCTGGTTCGGGCCTTGAACTGGCCGGGCCTCGGTTCAAGGTAGGAGAGGCCCGGAACTAGGGATGGACTCGGGCCGGGCCAACTGGCCCGGAACCGGACCGGCCCGTTACTGTGCGGGTCCGGACCGGCCCGGTGAACCGGTTCGGTTCCGGTTCGGGCCTCCCGGCCCGGTGGTATACCGGTCCGGGCCCGGGCCTCCAGTTTAGTGAACCGGCCCGGCCGGGCCGGGCCCGGTTCGGGCCGGAATTTAATTTTTTTTTTTTTTGAATTTTTTTTTAAGTTTTGGGTTGGATTAAGTATTTTGGGCCATTTGAGGTGGTTTGGGGTGGTTTGGGGTGGAGGGGGAGGGGGTTAAATAAGAGAAGAAGAAGAAGAAAAAACATTCCGGGTGGCCCGGCCCGGTTCTGGCCCGGAACCGGAACCGCCCACCACCGGTTCGGGCTCGGGCCTCCTTTTTCTGAACTGAGGCCCGGCCGGGCCCAGGCCCGAACCGGAACCGGTCCACCCCTACCCGGAACTGGCCCGGGTAACCCCGGGTCCGGTTCGGGCCGGGCCCGGTTCCGGTTCTATATTTTTTTTTTTTTGGGTTTTCCTAATCAACCCCTACCCTCCCCCTCAACCCCAAACCACCCCAAACCACCTCAAATGGCCCAAAATAACCAATCCAACCCAAAAACTTAAAAAAAATTCAAAAAAAAAAAAATTAAATCCGGCCCGGACCGGGCTCGAACTGGCCAGGCCGGTTCACCAAAATGAAGGCCCGGGCCCGGAACCGGTAGCCACCGGGCCGGGTCGACCCGAACCGCCCATGGGCAGGGCCGGTTCAAACAGTGACCGGGTTGGGCCGGTTCTGGGTCGGGCCGCCCGGCCCGAGTCCATCCCTAGGATTAAGTGATACTCGAATAACAAAATATTTAATTTGTGTTCTGAATGAGAAGGGTGAATTATACTACCCTCGTTCCTGATTAAACTTCCAAATAGGTTTGGCACAGAATTTAAGATAGTGGGTATTGTGGGGTGGAGAGTTGTGCAGAGGAGAGAGAAATCTGTAAGAATTGTTATGAACCACAAATTCTGGCCAAAAGGGAAAGTGGAAGTTTTAATTGGGACGGACGAAAAAGAAAAGTTGGAAGTTTATTTAGGGATGGATGGAGTATCAAATAACAAACCTTATGTTTGAAAATTGAAACCTCTTCTTCATTAATCAATGGAACCAACTTACCAATTGAAAAAGGCGTTGCTCGAAGCTCTTCTCCATTAATCTGGAGTCAGCAACTTCACAGGGTATCTGATGTCATTTCGGAAGGAAATCAAACCTATCTACATTGCCATTTGCCATAGGAGAAGGAAAAAGACAAGTGGGAGATGAGGCCATGAGGGTAACAAGAAAAACATGGGGAGATGAAGTCTTCTTCTAATTAATGGAACCTGCTTTCGGTGACTACTATCTCATTTAGATCCTCTATTTCAATTTTAGATTTTATCCTAAAAATAATAGCTTTAGGTTTGATTTGGGAGATGTAAGAAAATGGAAAGATTTATCTGCTGTTTCAAAATTGTATGCGGCTCTTTTGACCCTCCATTCATTTGGTTGAAAACTCAGCACCAAACATCATCCAGGAAGAAATATGCAAAACAAGCTGACGGTTGCACACTGCTCAGGGCGGAGGTTAGCGATGAAAGAAGGGGTAAAAGGGAGACCGCACATAAATATGTATGTCTGAGTGATAAGAAGTATTCAAAATGGGCTGAATTGATGGTCTGAGTGAATAAGTCAGATTTTAGAATAAGTCTTAAGTAAACAAGAGTATATAGTTGACCGATTAAGTCACAATTTTTATCAAGTCAATTAAGTCAAAACTAAATAACTCCTTAGTAAGTTTTCTGGTATCTTTTTTGCTTTGTGCAGGTCTAGATTATAATTTGCTATTGGAAACGGTTCATTCAATTGATGTGGGCACTGTGGGGTTACGGTTACACGCTTTGCTTTCACATGTTCACTTCTTCTAAATAACATTGAAAATCAGAGATTTTTTTTTTTTAAATTCAAATAAATGATTGTCTATGATACTAGCATTTTTTTTGGTAAACACCACTTAAATGTAAGAAAGTGATAGTTATAATGAACACTAAAATATAATATTAATAAAATACGTTATATATAAAATAATAAATTGTATCTAAAACAATTTATAAGATTTCTTTAAATATTTCAATACTTATTATTGCAGGTGAATTTTACACGTAGGTTAAATTTTAAATTAGTTTATGATATTTAAATTTACTACGTACATCCTCCGTCCCGCTAGGGTTGTCCTATTTTTCCTTTTCGGAAAATTCCAGTAAGGTTGTCCCATAACAATTTTGGTAAAATTTGTGAGTAAATCATTTTTATTTTATTCTTATTTTATCAATCCAATATCAATCACATAAACTTCTTTTTCTTAATAATCATGTCACTCTCTCATGTCTCAATGTTAGTGGAATGGAGGTAATATTAGTTTTAAAATTTTAGGCTAAAGGGTCAAATAGGCCCTTGAACTGACTTAAAGTGTTCAATTAGCCCCTTATATAGGAGGTTCTGCCCGGCCGTGGCTAATTGGGGCGGTTCCCGGTGGAATTCTTTGATGAAATTTTTTGAGCATCTTCTTCATTAAGTCTAGTTTACCCATACCAAATTTCAGCTAAAAATTCAACCGGGAAGGCAGTCAAATGATTTTCCAAAATGTACTGCGCTGTTTAACTTCACAGTTGTCTTCAAAAAATCATTTGACTGCCTTCCCGGTTGAATTTTTAGCTGAAATTTTGTACGAGTAAACTAGACTTAATGAAGAAGATGCTCAAAAAATTTCATCAAAAAATTCCATTGGGAACCGCCCCAATTGACGACGGCCGAGCAAAACCTCCTATATAAGGGGCTGATTGAACACTTTAAGTCAGTTCAAGGGCCTATTTGACCCTTTAGCCAAAATTTTATTAGTAAGAGCTTGTTTGGTAACTAATATTTTCAGCTTCTAAGTCTTATTGGTCATTTTTGTTTATCTAAACATATGATTTTGTATTTTGCGCATTGAATTATATAATAATTAACACAAGTGAGTGTTAAGTTACTTTTGTGATTGAGTTGGCCAAAAGTGCTATAATAATCATTAAAAAATATTTTAAATATTATATTTCCGCAAATTAGAAAATTAATGTAGTTGACCGATTGAGTTAAAATTTCATAAATTTTAATAGATTCAACCCGTTTAACTGATTTTATTGTTAGCAAATGATACCGGAACAAAAAAATAAAATCTACCAAATCAAATCAAATGATTTAATTAGAGTTATTGGCCCAAATGGTTTGATCTGGTCCAATTGGTAAATCACATGCCCAAGATCTGCAATAACCTAGCCCTACTTCGCTTGTATTTATATCGTTTGTCTTCAGTTTGCCGGTTTTTCTCTACCGCTCATATCTCACCAGACGGTCGTCCGCAGTCTTCACCCCGCAGTTCGTCTAATATACTGAGGTTAGTCGATCAGATTCCGGCTGGAACAGTTATGGCAGTCGGTTCAGCTTATATATATAGGATTATGGTTTAACTGTATTTGGTTTTGATTAATTGATTAGGTAAGCAGAGGTCGAAGCAACTCCAATGGCCCCGAAAGGTGTGTAGCTTGAATTGATTGTTTTTTTTACATAATACTGGAAATTTAGTTCCCGATTTAAAATACTATATTTTATGTTTCTCTTATGTGTTTCTGCGCTTGTGCAGTCATAATGACTGGTAAATTTGGAGTCTTTTGTTTCTGCGTTTTATTTTGGCGAACGTGTCGATCTTGTACATTCATTTTTATGCATATTGGGTTCACATAGCCGCCTTTTAGCTTCACTATTGCCTTGGAAGAAAAATTAGGACTCATCCTGGAGTGGATAGAAAAATAAATTGAATTGAAAAGTTTTTATGGAGAAACCTATTTGTAAAGATTTATTTAAATACAATGCCATTCCATTTATTATTAATACAAAATTAACTAGTTGAGAGCATGAGTCATACTTTTGTTCTACCAAGCTACAACATATATACGATAGTTCTAACAATAACAAAATGATTCGGTGTGAGATGCCTGTGTAGTAAATGGACTGTATTAAAATGATCTATATATCACCATCTATTTCGTTTAACAAGTGTCAAGTCATATACTAGTTTGGGAAATTACAAACTATTTGTTATGAATAATAATGCACGCAGCGAATCATTTAGGTGCTGGAAAGGGAAGGGTTTTGGTAATAAGAGTGAAGTCAGTCTTATTGGCGCATAGCTGTAATAGATTTTCAATTCCCTAAGGTCTAAACCCTCTTAAGTATCCCCTGCCCATGTAGTACTTGTTTTCTTTTTAATTTACATTTATAACTTATTGTGATGGAAAATAAAGTTACACCTCTAATATGAAAATCCATTTTAAGATTCTCTTTCTTCATTATTTTTTCACAAATGGACCAACCCATACCATTCCAAACTACACCTCAAGAGTTCTTTTTATTGTTTACTACCTATTATTAGATTATCAAAATCATAAATCAATGTAGGATAAAAATATTAAAATATAAGACTTATTTGATCTCACATTCAAATTAAAGTTAGTGGACTAATCAAAATTTACTAATATTTTGTCTAACACATTATATGTGTCTAACATATATGGTTGAATTGTAAGACAACTTTGTAGTTGCATTAGTTTAGGACAACTATTTAAATCCCAAAATTGTATTTTATTATACAAAATCAAGATGCTTATTTTGCACTTACTCCTAGCTCAAATTTAGTTCAAGTGCGGTTATATTACTATTATTTATGAATGGGAGTTAGATACTTGTCTGAATAATGTTTTCAAATTTCAATTTGGTCTCAGGTGATGTTACTAAAAAGGCTGACCCAAAGGTACAGGCTGCAAAAGTCGCCAAGGCAGTGAAAGGTGGGACTACCTTCAAGAAGAAGGGAAAGAAAATCCGCACCAAAGTCACTTTCCACAGGCCAAGAACATTTAAAAAGGAAAGGAACCCTAAATACCCCCGGATTAGCGCTACTCCTAGGTGCAAGCTTGACCATTTCCAAATTCTTAAATATCCTTTGACAACAGAGTCTGCAATGAAGAAGATTGAGGATAACAACACCCTTGTTTTCATTGTTGATATCCGTGCTGACAAGAAGAAAATTAAGAATGCGGTCAAGAAAATGTATGAAATTGAGACCAAGAAGGTCAACACTTTGATCAGGTATGTTCACAGTATTATTTGTTGTATTTATCCTACCAGACATTCATTTTGTCTTGCGTTTTACACCAACCTATTTATCTGAATGGGATTTTATTATTTAAGATATACATTTACAAATCCTTATCAGTAATCATCTAGATTCATCATTATCCTTGAAGTAATGGTTTGCCACATCAAGTTTAGATTTATTTATATGAATAGCAGTTGTGCTTGCATTTATATTCTTTGTAATTTTTTTGGAAGTTTTGAAATTGTTGGAGAAAACAAAAATAGGTAGGTAAACTGTATATTAGACATTTTGAAGTTCAGAAACTCGACAGAAATTAAATCATCGATTCTATTTCAGTAAATTTCTTTTTGTATTTTCCAAACTTTATGTCGTATACTTTTAAAACATACGTGTAAAACATACCAATGGTGATAACTTAGGCTTGGTGGTACAAAGAGAGTACAAGTAATTTGTTTAACTGCATGTGTTAACTAAGTTTTTGTGTTTGTGCTTGATCTTATTTTGCTTCAACATAGGCCTGATGGTACCAAGAAAGCATATGTGCGATTGACTGCAGATTTTGATGCATTGGATGTTGCAAACAAGATTGGAATCATCTAAACCCAAAACTGTAATCTGTTGCAGCCCCAAGTCTGAAATTGAAAGTTTTGTTACTTGTTTTGGAGTTGGTAGCTTGAGAGTTGCCCCTGTAGTATTTCAGAGGCGTTTAATCTGTTTATTTCTGAATTTTGATTTGGCAGTGTCATGTTATTTTGGAGATTATGAACTTAAATTGGTACATTTATTTAATCTTCATTTAGTTTTTTTTAATATGTTTTTGAAAAAGCACTTGGCGGCTTAACTTAAACAATCTGAAATTGTTGTTTTCAATACGTGCTACTTGTGCTTAAATAACTAAAAGCTAAAAGTTTGTATATACTTTTGTAAATAAGCTCAACCTCAGGTCCTCAAGAGAACAACTTTGTTCACAAGAGAGGGTGAAAATCAACCTCTCTCAAATGATGCCACATGACATTCTGGCATTTAATTTATTTCATCAATTACAATTTTGAAAAATTCTACTCCGTATAATTTTTACTCTTTAAAGTAGAAAAAAGGGCACTGATATATAGGCATGGACCGGTTCTGTGTCGGGCTTCTGGCCAGTCCTTGGTGGGCTTTTTGGGTTTGGCTTCGGGCCTGGAACCGGCCTGGGTTTCCCTCTGGTCTGGTCTGGTCCCTGGACTACATTTTTTTGCTTTTCTTATCAACCCCCGAGGCCCCGACCCCCCGGCCTCACCCCCCAAACCCCCCCAAAACACCCAGCCCAACCCGGGGAAAACAAAAAAAAAAAAATGAAAAAAAGGCCCAAACTAGGCTCGACTCGGTACTGTGTTTCCAATCTATTAAGTTTCCACAAAAGTGACTAACTTCCATATGGATGCCGTTTTAATTCTCTTCCTTAGCATCGTCATCAGGGGTGGATTTGGGCGGGGCCGGCGGTTCAGAAAAGGTGGACCCGGGACCGGCCCGGGCCTCCGATTTGTTTTTTTTTTTTTTTTTTTTTTTTTTTGCTTTCCTAACCCCCCCACCCCCAAACCCCTCCTAACCATCAAGCCCAACCAGGGTGGAACCCCAAAAAATGAAAAAAAAAAAAAATTAATTCGGCCCGGACTTGGGCCCGACCCGGCCGGGCCGGTTCGCCAAATGTAAGTCCCGAGCTCGGACCCTCCCCCTCCCCCGGGCCTAGGTCCGATCCGGACCCGAGAACTGGGCCGGTCCCGGTCCCGCACAGTAGCGGGCCGGACCGGTCCACGGGCCGGGTGGCCCAACCCGAATCCACCCCTGATCGTCATTAGATCCCAATTTATTCGCATATATGCTTGACGTTTTATCACTACCAAGTACCATATTACCAACCCTAAAAGTTAAATTACAATGATTGTATAATCGGCATGATGGCGGGCGATGACAACAAGGGTTGACTGTGGGGCCGCCAAGGGATGAAAACTGGGTTAATGGGGTGGACGGTGACTGGGGTTGTGGTGAGGTGGCGGTGACAATGAGCTTTGTTCAGGGTGGCGATGGAAGTGGTGGGTCGCAAGAGCAGTGGTGGCGGTGGTCTTTGGTTTGGGTGGTGGCGGCAATGATTTTTGATCTGGACAGCAGGGGCAATAGTGTTTGGCATGGGCAAGTGGGCAACAATAGTGTTAATTGGCTGAATGACTATCACTAAGCGGGTAGTCACTACTTAGTGGAGCCGAGCAGTGACAACAGTGTGGTGGCTAAAGTAATTGGCCGGTGCATTCAATAATTGGCACAGTCATTGCCGACAGATAGTACGTGACATCGGTGGTGGTCACTACCATGTCAGTATAGGCGGTGGTCAATTGGGTGGTGGCTGATGAAGTCACTGACCGATTTATAGTAACAAAGTCACTAACCGACCATCTCACTATGGCGGGAGCGGTGATAGCGGCGGTGGCCATTTTAATGGCTAGAAAGCATTGGTTAATTATTAATTGCAAATATATAATTTTAAACTAATAATAAATTAATATTAAATAAGGTAATTAATAAATGATATGGTTAGTCATGTTTTTGGGAAATGTCAAAACAAGTTACATTTTTGTCTTTTGAATCTATTTTAGTAATATTGATAAAGATATTTTGATAAAAAATATTTTAGTATGATGGACAAAAATAGTACTTGGTAACTATTAGTGACATAATTATGTTCAAAATTTAAATTGTACTCCGTAATACCTTAATGTAAGTTATTGTGATGTAAAATTTGAAAATAATTATAGTTACTAATTGCTATTAAGTCACATTTTTTTCCATTACATATTTATTAGTAATATTTAATAAAAAATCTCTGGTAAGTTTTTCTTTTAAGAAAATATTATCATTACTTATTCTACTTTTTATCTACCTTTATCTGTTCTTTCTTACCTTTTCACTTTCTCTCGTATTTTTCTTACCCTACTCATTACTCCTATCATTAATAGTGATCTTTTAAATACAGGGGAGTATAAGATTTAAGAGAAATCCAACTAAAAATAAATTTAAGAAAACACAGTTTTTTTTTTTCAATTTTTTATTAGCAATATGGATATCATTATTAAATCTAATACTTCGTAAAAGCTATCATAATTGTAAATTGTAATGTTTGAATTATTATACTCAGTAGTCAGTTTTCTTCATCTGTCAATTAACCAGCTTCCACATAATATAATGGAAAAATTGACAAGAATAATCCCACCTTTCAGTGGTAATCTCATAATAATCCCACCTTTACATAATCCCAAAATAATTCCACCTTTGCATCTCATCTTCTTTCATTGGACCTTGACAAGGTTTTTTACTCTTTCTTTGTAAATCATATAAATAATCTCACCTCTCACTTTTTTATTATATCCTTATAAATGTGAGATTATTTATATAAGATTTTCAAAGAAGGCTAAAAAACTTGGTCAGGGTCCAATGAAAGAAGATGATGTGCAAAAGTGGGATTATTTTGGGATTATGTAAATGTGAGATTATTATGAGAAGACCACTGAAAGGTGAGATTATTCTTGTCGATTTTTCCTAATATAATTTACGGTTAATTTTTTATTATCCCAAATATAGTATAATATATTTGGTGTAAGCTCATTCCAAAATTATATTTTATTTTTCACAATTGATTACTTCACTTAAGAAGACTTTGGGGCAGTTCTTTGTTTTTGTATGCATTCAATGTTAGCAATAGATTAAGCCATAGTGAGGCACATTGCCGTTGCTTTTCTAAAATTCAGTTGGTAAAACAAAGGTTGGTTATATCACAATTTCACTCACAATTGGCCAAGACATGCTTTCATACCACAACCACAACTACCAGTTTTTGCAAAAATCATTACTCCATGTATATCTCATAATGTCATTGCCCCTTATTTGTTACACAATTATCTTATATGTTGTACAAATACTAGGCATCCCGCTTGCCGGCTAATCAAGCTTTGCTGTCACGTATAACAATTGCCCACAAAGGTATCGAACACTAAGTTTCTTTCTGGTGCCTTTCGTTCTTTAGTGTTTCAAGAAGCCCTTCTCCTTCAAGCTTTCAACACTCTCCTTAAGGGCCTGTTTGAGAGGAGTGAGCACAACCCCAAGTTCCTTTGCTCTTTTGTTATTCACTTTGTATGCTGGCACAGGCGGATTTCCATCTGCACACCTGTTGCAAGGTATCAGAAAATGTATCACTCCCTCGCCTCAGAATTTCAACGTATCACTCCCTCGCCTCAGAAAATGTCAAACGAAACAAAGCGCTAAATTTCAAAGTAATCACAATTACCTTTGAGGAAATTTGAGATTAGGGTAAAGTTCACTGAGTATTGCAATAAGATCGAGGGGGTTAGCGCATCTCTCCGCAACATAGTACCTTCCATTAGCCTTGGGTTTCTCAAATGCTAATATATGAGCATCCACAACATCTTTGACATGTACCCACCCATATGCCACGTTTGGATATGTTTCAGCACCTACACAGAATCATTTCAAAGAATCAATGGAGGACACCCCATTTAATGTTGATTGAAGAAGATACAACATTAGGAATTCGGAGATTCTTTTTAGGATATTTATGTCCATATATAACCCAATTTTACATAAGTGTCATATCTAGTCACCAAAACACAACCTTTTGAAAATTAAAGGTATGTTGATTAGTATAAGTAGGTAAAGGGAAAATTAGAGAAAAATACTTCATATGCATAACATTCTTAAAAGAACAATAACAGGGAAAATTTGGTCAAACAGTGGCAGATATATAAATGAAAGAGTAGATCTAGTAGTAACCAAACAGGAAGCTTAGAGCAATTAATACCGTCTATTAAGCTCAAAACATTAGCAGAGCTAGTGTTGAGTGATGGTTGAAGCATGGGACCAATCACACACGGCGGGTTAATTGAAACCAAGTCAATGCCTCTCTCTTTGACAAACTCCCATGCTGCCTTCTCGGCCAATGTCTTTGAGAGCACATACCACATCTGTAACATGTTGGTTTGGTGCAATTAGTATGCCATAATGTTATACGCATCTAACTAGAATTCACAAAAACGGTATACATATTTCGAGATTGGTCTACTCTTAGAATCTAAATGCATAAAAACCAACACACACAAAGTATTGAATTAAGGCTAAACAAAAAGTACACAGATTTGAAGTTTGATTTACTCTTGCTGCATATAAACTCACATACATAAAGTACTGAACTTTTCTTGTGGGAATCCAAATGTTAATAGATTCAGTAGTGCTATAGTGAAACATTACAGAAACCAACCTTGTTTTCTCTGCAATAATCTGGGTCTGACCACCAGGTCTCATCAATGACTGTGTCAGCAGTTCGCGGATTCCGGTTGAAAGCGATTGCAGCTTCAGAGGACGTCAATATAACTCTTTTAACAGACGGTTTTCTGGTAACCGATCCTAGCACATTCAGTGTTCCCTTCACAGCTGGATCAATCAAATCCGCCTGTTGAATGAGGAATAATGTGAATCATGAATGTATCAGGTTAAAAAGCACAGCTGAAAGAGAATCAGCTGATATTCAACTAAAGTATATATTTAATCATAAATCATTGAACAAATAAGAAACCTACTTGAGGATCAGGGGTGTGATGAAGGAAGAAGGGAGAAGCACAGTGGAAGACACCATCACAGCCATCAATTGCAGCATCAAAAGACCCTTCTTCCAATAAATCTGCTTTGAACAAGTTAAGCCTCTCCTTTGCCCCTTCCAGTGACAACAAGTGACCCACCTTCTTTGGATCATCTGTTTTTTCATGATAAAAATATACAGATACAAAGTGCTAAGTATACTGGCCAAATATGCAATACTCTTTCAATGGATAAATTACCAAATTCAATAACACAATCTGCACAAAATTCATCAAAATGGATATGGTTTTCTTCTCTGAGTAGTATCTAGGGTTGCGAAATTCAATAAACATGTGAAATAAAAAACACTTACTAGGATAACGAACAGTGGCATTAACATTGTACTGGAGGCGGAGAAGGTTTTTGATGAGCCAGGAGGCGATGAAGCCCGACCCTCCAGTTACGCATACCGTCATTGCCATTTCTTCTTTTCTGGAAAATGCTTTAGTCGTCTCTGTTGTTTGAACTCTGAAAGGTTTATTGCTATGGCTTCTTATCCAATTTTTGATCATATACGGAGTATATATATTGAGACGTACAACTATTCAAGCCAAAATGATGCAGGGAGTGACGTCAAGTACGTGGCATATGAGCTAAGCGGTGACACAGCACACCTCACATGATGGAAGCTTATATAGGGGTGGTTCCGTACGGTATACCGAAGATTTTATCTCATACCTTTACCATACCGTAAACTTTCGGTATGCAAAAATACATACCGTTACCATACCTAAATTTCGGTATACCTTGTTTCGGTATACCAAAATTTTGGTACGGTAAGCCCCGGTATCAGTAAATTATCATGATTTAATATCAAATTATTATATATCAAATGAAATATAAAAAATCAGTGTTAATAGTGATATACTAAAATTATTAATGAAATTAATTATAAAATACCAATGATAACCTATTTGTGTTCTATTCAACTTTGAACAAAAAAATATTATAAATATGTACGGATACTTCAACACATGATATATGAAGATAACAACACATTCTGCTAAAATAATACGAGTAATTTAAATAACATAAATATATTTGAAATAACATCGATCTCCAACAAAAAGTATAAATAATTCAAGAAACATGGATATAAAGTCATTATCCTTGAATTAATGTTGTGTTTCTAGTTATTTTTATAATTTTAAAGAAATTATTTGCTTGGAATTACGGTATGACGGTATAACGGTATACCGTTTATTTTCAAAATATATACCGATACCATACCGAAGTAATTCGGTACGGTATGATACCGTACCAAAAGTGTCGATATACCAACACTTTGGTAAATTCGGTATTTTTCGATATGGTAAGTCCGGTATACCGAAATTTCAGTATTTTTCCCCACCCCTAGACGTACATTAGTGAGTGTAAAGAAAAATGTACGAAATAAGAATGAAAATGTTTGGATTTTTTTTTCATATTATGCTAAATAAAAAAATATTTACGAAAGTAGAATCGTGTTAAAACTATTTACCAAAATACTACTCGGTCAAATTATGGTTAGGGAAAGCCGCCAAAAGAAGTCGACTCTCCTCAAACATAAGGAGGGACGAAGAGAGGTGGTGGTGAGGTGGAGACGTGGAGCCTATGCAAATGCTTTTTTTTTTCTTTAAATTGCTATAACTTTCATATTATAGTTTCAATTTTTTTTTAAAAAAAAATCAAATGTTATAATTTTTTGTTTAAAAAATGAGAACATCATATTGGGTGAAAAACTAAATGCAACTATCCTCCATCAATAAACCTAATTTTCAATATGTTTAAACAAAAACTTCCGCATTCATATATTCACCATATCAATTCTGTTTTTCTTTTCTAACATCGTCAATATATTCATTCAACATAATTTTTAGTTTAATTCTTATACTTTAATCTGCACCAACTTTTAGCCAGAAACATTATACAAAAATCTAAAGATTTGATTGCATAGAGTTTGATGGATCGCTGACCCTGGGGGAAGCCGGAATCCGAGAATCAGAGAGATGAGAAGTGCTAAGTAAGATCGAGTATCAAATTGAGCAGAGTAATCACAAGATTGCACAAAGAATTTCGAATCCCTTTCCACAAGTTAGAAGGTGATATTTATACAAAGAGAGAAATATTTGGCTAACAAGTAAAAAAGATGTTTTTCTATTGTGGTGAAGACACATGTCATGCCAGTCTAACAGAACAAACGAGCTAGTCTCATAATATGGTGACACGTGTGATCAGAGAGATAATTGGGGCAACTAACTAATTGGAACGTCGCATATTAGAATTATACCTGAACACACATGTGTGCTACACGTGTGCTATCTAGAATATTCCTTAACTTTATCTGTTTGGACTAATGTGACACTTGTATAGTGTTGGTGATGTGAGGCTAGGGTTTACCCTAGGTTCAAATAGGTTGGGCAGCAACATAGATTTGTTCCGGCGGCTCTACTTTGTAGTCGAGCAGGTTTAGAGAAGGCTCTTTCGCATAGTGCACTAGGTTAGCAGCTACTCCGTTTTGATTCAGAAGGAGAAGATTGTTGTGTACGAACGTGGTGAGGAGGCATGCTATTCGAATGATAGGGATGTGGAGTCTGCTCGCTTTCCGACTGATTGTGTTCGTGCAGTTTTTTGGCCAAGAGATGGAGGCGACTCACGTGAAGATCAAGGTGATGAAAGAAGAAGATGAAGTGATGAAGATCCGCCTTACTCCGAAACCGCCACCATGGAGGAACTATGAGATTAGGATGGATTCAACTACTCCATCAGTTTATCTTGTTTAATTTCGTTTTACTCATTTTTAGTTTATTAATTATGAACTCTGTTGCTATAGTTTTATTTTTGGTTATATTTCATGGTGCTAGGTTTATTACGATGACTGAGGTTTCGGCTAGATTCGATATAGTTAGAGGTGGACGGATCTATTTGTTCAACAATAGCTGCATTAAGCTCGTTTGGTGGCTAGCAATTCGTTTGTTGATAAATTTCATGTTATTTTAGTGCGAAAAAAATGGTTATATAAATCGCATTACTTTTCGAATTAAGAAAGCATATGGTATCGTCGTTAAAGGTGATTGAAAATGGGCAAAGTAAGGTTCATAAATCATACCACATGCTATTCGCCTATACCACTACTTTTTTAAGCTTAAGCACCATCCACGTCCATTTTATTCCTTTATGTTTTTAACTCTATGTACCAATTGCTTAATTAGCTTGTACATATACTGATATACATATGTACTTTAACCCCGGCCACTGCCCTACACATCACGTTGTTATGAAGTGATTTTGTTGTAATAGATTTAAAGATAAAAAACTTTATTTACTTACCATATAAACAAAAACTATTTCCTTCAGTGTAATCAACACCCAAATGGGCAAAACTAATATTCCTTGCCTCCTACAAAACTTTGTAAATTTTTCTTATTTAATTGTCTCAACATATTTGTTTGTTCTATATTTGTAATCACATATTGCGGAGTACTTGTTACTTTAGACGATTATGGAGTGATGTACTCCCTATATTACTCTAACAATGTTTCCAGTTTTCAAATATTACATTACATAATCCCGAACATTAAGTGAGCCACATCTTTTGTTTTATCAATCTCTCGTGATAATATAGTAGTAATATAACTCCTAACTTTTAAATGAATATAATTTAAAACGATTTACAGAATCACATTTCTTGCTTTACCTTGCTCCCAAACTTATAAGTCATACATGTTTGGAAGTCGGATCATTTATTATCTATCTTCTAGTTTTTGTAATATTTAAAAAAGATTTAAAAGTTTTCAGTTATATGTTTGGATAATAAAACTCTTAGAAACTACTTTAAAATTTTTATTATCCCAGGAGTAGTTTATGAGAGAGTGTCTATTACGAACAACTACTCCGTGTTAATTATAATTTCATATAGTTATAATATCTGGTTTTATCAAATATAACTACAACAAACAAGATTATTATTTTTTCAAAAGCTTTTCAAGCCGACATTTACTGATGTAGAGCCAATTATAAAATCTACTAATTGTATGAGCATCAACTGCCTAAAACACGCACACGGACAATGGTAGCTGGATTCGAGGGCTTATGAGGCAGTTACTGCTCTGCTTGTTAGCTACTCATCATTGTCATCAATTTCTTCTCTTCACCCTTTTCTTCAAATTCTGTTCTTCGCCGACCTACCTGGTATGTGCACTTTTACCAATTCAGCTCGAATCAAAGATTGGGATCTTTTAGGGTCTAAACAAAGATGGGATTTTTACATCATGCTTTGTCTTTATGCTGTCTTGTTGTTCTGGGTGTTTTTTCACTGGGCCGGTCTTCTTTCACTCCAGTTGATTGTTTCTTGATTGGCTGCGGTAACAGTAAATCAGTAGAATTTGGGGATGGTAGGGTTTTCCAACCAGATTATGGAAATTCTAACGTGGGATTGTTTACAAATTCCCACGTTGTGGTCTCAGATTCTGGGAGGAAGGGTTTGTCTGATCTTTATAATTCTGCCAGAGTTTTCACCACCCCTTCCACTTACACCATTAGAAATAACCAGTCTGGGAGACATTGGCTAAGATTGCATTTTTACCCTGTCAAGAACAATGATTATGACCTGAAAGCGTCTTCTTTTTCTGTTGTGGCAAATGGGATAACTCTACTCCACAGATTTTCTCACCGCCAAAACGGGCCGCTAGTCAAGGAATATGTTGTTGAAGTAAACGGGTCGGGTTCGGATGGGTTGTCACTGACCCTGTCTCCACGGGTGGGCTCAGTTGCGTTCATCAATGGATTGGAAGTGATTTCTGTCCCTAAGGGTCAATTTGATTTTGGGGTTGTTCCAATCCCAAAGGATTCTTCAACAACCTCTTTGATTCCTTCCTCCACTGCCCTTGAGACGGTCTACAGGTTGAATATGGGAGGCTCAAATATGACCTCTGAAAATGACCCGTTTTGGAGGGACTGGAAATCAGATTACCCATTTCTTGTCCATCCTTCTGCCGCTGTGAATGTGAGCACAGATCCTAGATTGGTTAAGTATGCTGCTGGAGTCACGGTTGAGATTGCACCAGATTGGGTTTATGCCACCGTCCAAGAAATGGCTGAGGCTCAAGTAGTTGAGCCTAACTTCAATTTAACATGGGTGTTTGGAGTTGACTCGGGGTACACTTACTTCCTTAGGATGCATTTTTGTGATATTGTCAGTGATGCTCTAGGTGAGTTGATCTTTAATGTTTATGTGAATGAATATATCGCCGTGGATTCTCTTGATATCTCAGCCAAGACAACGGCATTGTCAGTTGCTTACTTTCTTGATTTCACGGTCAATATTTCTGAGGGAGGATCAGAGAACCTTTACATTAAAGTGGGTCCATCTACTTCCGGGAGAGTCCCAGTCAATGCAATTTTGAATGGTTTAGAGATAATGAGGTTGAGTGATTCTAGTAGCCTTGATGTTAACATTGGTATGATTTCCGGTGATTATTACATGGCCTCCAAGACTAAGAAGCATATGATGATAGTGGCTTTTGCATGTTTGGGAACCTTAGGGATTTTTCTTCTCGTTTTGATTTCTTGTTGTTTCTTTTATGTGCAATTTTCAAACGTATCAGAAAAGGTCAAACCAAAAACTTATGTTTCTTGGGTTTCAAATCTTAATACTAGGAGTTGGGATTTCATTTTAAAACGACATCATGTTGATAGCGGCTTAACACCTACCTTTGGAGTTTCCCCGACCTTTGCTTCATCAATGCCTACAACTATTAGCTCACGACACGTTTTCTCCTTTGCCGAGATTCTTGTTGCCACAAAGAGTTTTGATAATGGTTTGGCCATAGGAGTGGGCGGGTTTGGGAAAGTATACAAAGGTATGCTTGAAAATGGGGTCATGGTCGCAGTGAAGAGAGGAAGCAAGAAATCTCAACAAGGGTTGCTTGAGTTCAGGACAGAAATTATGATGCTCTCAAAGCTTCGCCACAAGCATCTCGTTTCTCTAATCGGTTTTTGCGAAGAAATGGACGAGATGATTCTCGTGTATGAGTTCATGGCAGGTGGACCCCTCAGGAAACACTTGTACAGTGAGCCCCACCTCCCGGTGCTGTCGTGGAAACAAAGGCTTGAGATATGCATAGGTGCCGCAAAAGGACTTCATTATCTTCACACTGGGGCTGCATCGGAGAGAATCATCCACCGTGATGTGAAGACTACTAACATCTTGCTCGATGAGAATTTGAAGGCAAAGGTGTCAGACTTTGGTTTGTCAAAATTTGGGCTTGCGTTGGACCAAACCCATGTGAGCACCGCCGTGAAGGGTAGCTTTGGGTACCTTGACCCGGAGTACTACCGTAGGCAACAACTGACAGAGAAGTCCGATGTGTACTCGTTTGGAGTTGTGCTCATGGAGGTTCTGTGTGCCCGACCACCTATCAACCCCGCCCTCCCGAGAGAGCAAGTGAACATTGCAGAATGGGCTATGCAGTGGCAAAAGGCAGGTCGGGTAGAGGAGATCATTGATCCCCGCCTCTTAGGAAAGGTGAATGAACGGTCGTTAAGAAAGTTTGGGGAGACGGCTGCAAAGTGTTTGGGTGAGTACGGGAGCGACAGGCCGTCTATGGGAGACGTTTTGAGGAATCTTGAGCATGTACTTAAATTACAAGAGGCTTGTGGTCTTGTTCCTCATACGGAATCTGGAGAATCTTCCACAGCCGAGTTCTCGGAGATTTTGAATAAAAAAGAAGATGAATGAGGCTGCAGTAAAAGGCAGGCTTATATACGATCTCAGAATAATTTCTAGCTCTTACAACAGAGATCATGGCAAATTTTATGCCTATTGTATTTCTCTGTTTAGGTTTGGTAGTGATTAATGTCATAGAATTTTCATCAAATCTTATGTTGACATCTTGAAATGAAGTTATTGTTTGGAAATGCAATTGCCATGTGCCATGTACGATATTAATTACAAGTACAATTAAGAATTTAAGACTACTTGGGATCAAAGAAAAGCTCATATAGATGGCCTTCCAAACAAAAGAACAAGTATGAAAAAGAAAAAAAAAAAGATATAAAAACAACATATGGTCTAAATCTTGATAATTATACGGAATATATTACTCATGGACCGCCGGCCATGCCCAAATCTCGCTTAATTGTTTTCAGTTCCACATTATGCATGTCAGCATGTGCGGATGTGCCTTTGAGTGCCTTTTTCCTTCTGGTTTTTTCCCAATCCTCAAACAGTTTTGGTTAATAAGGACTTAAAGATTTTTTCAATTTCTTCTTGAGAAAAGGAGTTAATGAGCCCTCATTTCCTCCGGATGGAAAGATCTTGCACATTACAAAGATACCACGCATCCATGAAAATAAAGAAATTGAGCCCTTTTCTCGTGTATTTGTAAGGTCTTCCGATAGAGGGTCTGATTCTAGAATTGCTAATAATTCGAGGACTTATTTGCTCAATTTCCCTTTCTTTAATTTTAGAATATTTCTGAGAAAGCCGTAATACTTTTATAGATAGAGAAAATGTACTAAAGTAGGCGCACATTTCTCTCTTCTCATACCCTATTCCTGGTGATGTTTACTGAAATTGTTTGGTAAAGAATATTTTATGCTTGTCAACATTGACAAAATTTTGTGTACTACATATTATGAAACATACATGGATTTATTAAACAGTATAAGTTAACTCTGAAAGTTGTCAATCAATTTTACAATATTTAGGTGCACTTAGAAATTGTCAAATTTTATAGTCATTTATTATCATCGGGGCGTAGGCAGGAACAACAGTGATTTGTTATAACAAATATTTTCTAAGTAAATTTTTACACATGAAATAAAAGTACTTTTCAAATTGACCGCCTCCATTAGGCCTGAGACTTCTGTCCCGGCCATCAAGTATCATATCACCTCATGAAATAGCTATATGGTGTTCACCAAATGATCAAAATAAGTAACCAATGGACTTAATTTTCTTTTTCAAATCCTAAGTGTGGCACAGGATGAGTCTATAAATCTATAACTGTGGAGGACCAAGGAGCCATGGCATCAGTCTTGAAGAATTGTATTAATAATTAGGTAACAGATTGATTTTGACTATAGAGGGAGGTTTACTAGTTAATATGGGATTTGATTGTTTTTTTTTGAATAGTTGATGGGCTGATTTTAATCGCACTTCCCATAGAACCAAATACTCACAATTTTTTGGCACGTGAATATGATGGAATAAAACAAAATGATTCACTAAATTGTTTGCGCTTCTATGTCACGAAACAATAGTCAGTCTATGCAGTTTTTATGTCATTTTCATCATGCGTCATTCAGAAACAGTCTATATGCTTTAGTACAGGGGTAAGACTGCGTACATCCGATCTCCTTCCCACCGTAGATGAGGGCCTTTGCGACTACACTAGGGAGGGTAATGTTGTTGTAGTTGGAGTGACTTGAAGTTTCTTTTAGTTTGGGAATTCGGTAATTATTAGGAACTACTACGTATGTATTAGGCACTTCACTATACACGGAGTAGGCTTGTTAATTAGAATTTTAAGGTATAGGCTCAAGTTATCATAGAAGAACAATATCTGTATAGATTGGAGAGCCCAAAAACAAAAACAAAAACAAAAACAAACCAGTTTAATGTTAGTAATTAGTTAAAATAATCTCTAAGCATAACTAACCAATCAGTTGATTTATTTTAGACAAATAAATATGTGGAAGAGGTACTGAAGCAAAAGCAGCCATATGATTATAACAATTAATCACCATTCATACAGCGATAGAATTGTTCAAAGTACTCATTGAAAAGTGGCTTCCCACACGTTATAACAATTTATAAACACACGACCTTCCCTAAACATACAAATAAACTAGCAAAACGCAACACTGAAATATACTTTTTCCAATCTTTAATTTGTTGCTTCTATACGTGAAGTTGATCAATCAATTGTGTAGCTAATTAAGAAGGCCAGGAAAGGAGTAGCCCCTCGATTTTAAAAATGCCCATTCAACAGATAGCGATTGGAAATCCGGGTGAGGCAAGCCACCCGGATGCGCTCAAGGCTGCCTTTGCCGAGTTCATTTCCATGCTCATTTTTGTTTTTGCCGGTCAAGGCTCGGGCATGGCTTTCAGTATGTTCCAAATGCTCTATTTTTAGTTGAGATGAACCACATTTTAGTTGATAGACATAGAAACACGGAGTAGAAGCTAAGAAATCCGATTCAACCGTAAAATGTTAATTGAGAATCTGAATAGAAGCTAAGAAATCTGATTCAACTGTAATATAGAAAGTGAATATTATTCTATATCAATAGTAATGATGATTATTACAATTATTAATATAATTATAATTAATTTATATGGAGCAATGAATATAACTTAATACTAATGTGTTCAGATGTTTGTTTCCAGGCAAATTGACAGACGGTGCAGGAGCAACTCCTTCGGGGTTAATAGCAGCAGCATTAGCCCACGCATTGGCACTTTTCGTGGCAGTTTCAATTAGCGCCAATATCTCCGGTGGCCACGTCAACCCCGCTGTCACATTTGGAGCCTTTCTTGGTGGCAACATCACTCTTCTCAGGAGTATTGTTTATTGGATAGCTCAATTGCTTGGATCTATTGTTGCTTGTATCCTTCTCAAATTTGCCACTGGTGGAATGGTAAGGAAATTCCTTGTAATAAAAATCTACTCCTGGCCACTTAGCATAATAAGTGTTTGAGATTGCTTAAAAAACGCTTCGGTGCCTTTGACTTGAGAGAATATATTCAAAACTTGAAAACCAATATCCAAACTCCTTTCACATTCTAAATTAGTGCTCTGTAAAAACTTGAACCCGACCCATGTCCCCTCTAAAATTTCTACCTTCTTGATGTGCTGGTGCAGGAAACGTCTGCATTTGCTTTGTCAACTGGGGTGTCAGTGTGGAATGCGATTGTGTTCGAGATGGTGATGACCTTCGGGCTGGTGTACACTGTCTATGCAACTGCCGTGGATCCAAAGAAGGGTGATTTGGGCACTATTGCACCCATTGCTATCGGTTTCATTGTTGGGGCTAATATCTTGGTTGGTGGAGCGTTTGATGGGGCATCCATGAACCCAGCTGTATGTTTCGGTCCCGCATTTGTGAGCTGGACGTGGACCCACCACTGGGTTTACTGGTTTGGTCCGTTTGGTGGTGCAGCCATTGCAGCTCTCGTCTATGACAACATTTTCATTGGCAACCATCATCATCATGAGCAGCTTCCTATTGCTAACTATTAGAAGTCACACATGGTTCCTTTATTCTTTTTTGTTATGGTTCTCCATTTTCCCCTCTTTTTTACATAGGGATTTGCATTTTTTGTGTTTGATGGTGAATAAAATGGGTGATAAAGAATATCCAAGATATGATACATTGATACTGCATGATATCTCATAAGAAACATGTTAAGCAAAGGATGCATGAGCCAAGAGGCCTAGGGCTCGTTTGGCTGGAACTGTTGATATTGTTGAATTTTCTAAAAAGAAAAGCATTTGGTAAATTACAGTTCAGCCAATAAGTAGGCCAAAAGCTACTTATTCTACTACCTTCGCATTTGGTAAATTACAGTTCAGCCAAAAAGTAGGCCAAACGCTACTTATTCTACTACCTTCACAGCAGTACATCTTTTAAGACTTTGTGAGGTGCAATTATTCAATTCAAAGTATTTATTTTTCTTATCTTTTTAGCTCCTCTTTCATGTGTTGGTTCATGTTAGCCGACCCCAAAGTCTTTTGCGGTTAAGGCTTGGATGATGTTGTTGTCGTTGTTATTTAACAAAGTTCAACATACTAAATGCCAAACACTTTTTGAATAATAAAAAACGAAAACACCAAATAAATTGAAAATTATAATCCTTTTCTGGAATATAAATATGATTTCAAATTGGACTATTTTGATGTGATGAGGGAGTAGTGACATCCGCTAGACAAAGGCATATCAATGCATACACTATTATTGAAATGTTTTACATTAGAAAAATAAGAAAAACTTTCCAGAAAAGCAGATGTTATTGACTTTATTAACTTGTACTCATATTAGTTATTTAGTTGTATAAGCATATCTAAACAGAGTGTGAGCAACCTTTTAAAGCATATGAAAGATGCAAACTACACAAGCTATATGGTATTAGCAGAATATACCAGACTTTAAATGAGTTAATTTATACTCTGTATGTTACTCCGAGGATAGAGATGTGCCCGAAGAGGATATTTCATGACAGTGGTGAACTCTTGTTTTTCACTAAGATCAACATCATCAACACTCTTCCATTCAAAGTGCCAAACCAGGTTAGCCACAAAGAACTCCAAATGCAACAAAGCCAGAGACAAACCAGGGCAAATCCTCCTCCCAACACCGAAAGGCATCATCTTGATTTCTCTACTCCCACTTATATCAAACCCTTCCCCTCCTTTCAAAAACCTCCCAGGCTTGAACTCCATTGGTTCCTCCCACACCGTTGGGTCCCACCCCATATCAGCCACCATGAAATTGATCACAGCATTCTTGGGAATCAAATACCCTTCCATTTCGACTTCCTCAGTGACAGAGTGGGGAAGCACAAAGTGCCCGGGTGGGTGGCGTCTTAAGCCTTCCAAAACAACAGCTTTTAAAAATGGCATCTTTTGTAAATCTTGCTCTTTCACAACATCTCCAGATAAGGTTCCTATGACACCCAAGATTTCATCATAGAGCTTGGTTTGGATAGAAGGGTGCTTTACCAAATTGGCCATGATCCATTCCAAAGCAGTGGAAGTAGTGTCTGTTCCAGCATTGAGAAATTCCCCACAAAGGGTTGCCATTTCTCCATAGTTGAGCTTCTTTTTCTCATCTGCCAATTCTAAATTCTTTAATGTATCTACATAAGATAACACCATATCCTTATCTTCCTCATCTACTATTCGCTCTTTCGTCTCAATTCGGGATTTAATTATAGGGATTAAAGTTTTTTCACGATCTAGGGATACTTGAATCGCCTCATTCCAGAGATTCCTGAAAAAGTACTTCCCTATAGTAGGCCAGAAATTCAGTAAATAGAACCGACGAAAACTGAGAATAACCTTTCTCTGTGTAGCCTCAATCTGTTTAATCTGGGCTTCTTCGAGTTTATCTCCGAAGCACATTAAAGCAAGCAAGGAAAACATGGCGTGACGGAAATGGACGATTACCTTAACACCTGATTCAGAGTTTTCATTTTGGAGTCGTTCTAGAAGAGCTCCGAGAACCCATTGTCGGGCTTTCGAGTAAGACTTGACCCGAGAAGGGAGGAGAATCTCCGATATGAGATTGCGGCGTAGGAGGCGCCATGTGGGGCCATAGGCGGCGGAGCTGATGTTACGGTGATTGCTATTGAGGAGCCTCGTAACAGGCGGTGATATCGGGCGGTCGGAGAAGATGGCGCCGTTTTGGATGAGAGCTTGATGAGCGAGGGAGTGGCTGGATATGAAAATAGACGGGGTTGAGCCGATTCGGAGAGTGAAGAGAGGACCGTACATTGATTTGAGGTCCCGGAGAATGGGTTCGAGCTGGAAGGATCGACTCCGCCATAGGATGTTTCCGATCAGCGAGGCTATGGACGGTCCCGGAGGGAGCTTGTTGGACTTGCCGGAGAAGATTAGCGAGAAAAGAGGCTTGAGGAGGAAGGAAGCGCAGAGAGAGCAAAAGAGTGTGAGTAACCAGCTAGTTTCCATGCTCTCAAGCTCGTACCAAATTTGATGATGACAACGGTTGAACCTATTTTGGTTTATACTACTCCCTCCGTCCCTAAATTATCTTCAAACTTTCCTTTTTCGTCCGTCCCAAAATTATCTCTTCTTTCCCTTTTTGGTAAAGAATTTGTGGTTCACAACCATTCTTACACATTCTTACACATTTCTCTCTCCTCTGCACAACTCTCCACCACACAAAACCCACTACCTAAATTATTGTGCCCAACCGTAATAGGAGAAAAAACAGGGACGGAGGGAGTATCCTTTTTTCTATCACAACATATTGAATATTACATTATTCACATTTATACTTTGACTACATTTTACGGTATTATTTTATGAAAATTATTTTTTAAAGAATTTTTGTTCAATTCATCTCATTACAAATTTTCAAAATCCAATTTTTAATTATTTTTTACTAATAAAGATTAAGATATAATTACGGCCAAAGACGTGAATTGGCAAGAGTGAAATGTTGACCGTTGCAACTAAAAAAGAACGGATGAAGTATTTTTTATTTTTTTTAATTTAAATACTTCTAGCATCAATGATGTGGGATAAGTATTTCAAACTTACATATGTAATATACTACCTATACCTGAATTTTAGAAGAAAATTTATTTTCGCACCATGATTATATGCCCTCTTACAAATATAATTTTATTGAAATAATTTCATAATTTAAAACACTCTAAACCTTGTTAGAATTTATTTAACATTCTAAAATTTCATTGGTGAAATAAATAATATTACATTCGATACAACTTAATTTTAATTTGGGAAGTTGGGACAAAATAGTATTTGGGTTGCACAATAACTACTCTTATATTAACCCAATCAACTTATACAAATTTATTTTACATTATATTGGGCTCATATAATTAATAAGATGGCCCACTAAGTTTTAGATGGTTCCTATTGTTAGGTGCCTTCCTATTATATATTATTGTTATTTTTAGGGAATTTATCACAAATAGATCAAAAAGCAAAAATTATATCAGATTTGTTACTGTTCAATAATCTTTTCAAAAATAGACTTTTCATTTCACAAATAGACCACCGGAAGAACTCCTCGTAACCCAAACCAGCGAATCTATTCAGCACTTCGGTGAGTCGCAACGAGCCAAAGACGCAAGGTCGCAATCGGCCAGTCGCATTCCAGCATCCCTGCACGCCGCTGATCTCCACACGTCGTTGATTCCTGCACGCCGCTGATCCCCGCACGCCGCCGCAACCCCGCATGCCGTAGCTGCGCCCCCCTTCTGTGTGGCAGTGTGCTTCTCTCAGTTTCACTTCTAACCTTGTGGCAGATCTGGCTCATTGGCAGTGCGCTTCTCTCAATTTCACTTCTAACCTTCCGTATCTCCCTGAATCGGGTCAACCCCCTAGGCATTAGATTTTTCTTATTGATAATTGGATTTGAAGAATAAATATAAAAAAAGTTTAGTAGTGTCAGAGTACTTAAAGCAAATGCATCTGCAAATGCAAGTTTTCTGCTTTCAGGTGATGAAGATACTTGAAGCAAATGCAGGTACACTCACCAATTTTGAGGTGCTTGAGTTTCTAAGATCAAGAGGAGGTGGAAAGGGTGCTGCACGTGTGATGCTCCTAACTTTGGCATCTAAGTTTAAGGTTTTTGATTATTTAGAACATATTGTTGTTGAAGTAATTAGACTAGAGAAATTATTGATCAATGTGTAGAAAGATGTCAAAGTTGCGCTTTTAATATATCAAAAGCTGAAATTTGAACATCATCAATATCAGACCATGTACTCTATCTCAAATTTACCATATAATAGAGGAATATGATGTTCGGTTTCCGAGAGGTGAGGAAACTGGTGATGAGGAAGAGAGTGAAGAACCTTTGATGGCACTGGTCGAGAGGACTCGAGACAATACAACATGTTTAGTCTGCCCTCCTTCGCCAATGCAGCAGGCTGATGGGGAAGTTGACAAAAAAGTTGATGAAGAGATGGAAACATCTGCCGAGGAAGAAAGAGTCGTAATGAATAGTAGCATACTTTGTGACAAGTTTTCAGTTGGATCGGTTAGGACAATGCAACTTTGTCATTGTATTAATTGTATTATTTTGTAGTTCATCAAGATGTTATACGAAGTATATGCAAGTCTTATACTCGGTACTAAATTTCTCTTGAATGTAAGATAGAGCCATTGGTTGTAGATCTTTTCAAGTAGAGTTTTTTGTGCTAATATGTGTGGTAATGTTTATCATAATATGCGTCCATAAAAAAATAGAACTTCACTTTTTGTTTCTTTTTGTGTTTCTTAGAAACGTAATAAAAATCATAATATGCTACTAAAAGTCGTAGAGTTGATAACTTTGATATTTTTTATGATAATATTTGTGGAGTTCATCAATTACTACTCTTCCCATTTAGTAGTAATGTTTATCATAATATGCCTCCATAAAACATTGTTTCTTTGTGTTTCTTTTTGTTGATAACTTTGATATTTTTTGTTTTTTTTTTGTTGTTTCTTCATGTTTCTTTTTGTTTATTCATAAATCCGTATTTATCTTTTTAGGTGTTTGTGTGTGTTTGTATGATTTTCTATTCCAACAGTAAGAAAAATAAATATAAATATAAATTCCACAATTAATTTACGTTTTTTTACTTTGTCCACTTTTGATGTATCACTGTTGTACATCGTATTTCGCACATATGTAGTCATTGTGTCGGTATTTTTGGTGGTTAAAATCACCGGAAAAGTGTCGAAATTTAGACAGGACTATAAATAATCAATAAATACTAGTCAAGTATCAAAAGTGGAAAAGTAAAATACGCGAACTAAATATGAAATTGACATAATTATAAGATCAAAAGTGAAATTCATTCAAATAAATAAATTTCATTGTGCCTAGATACAAATAACTAATAAATCATTAAATCCTTGAGAGAAATAACTAATAAATCATTAAATCAATAAATTTCATTGTGCCTAGATACAAAAAAACTAATAAAAAGAAAAAGTGAAGAGTTAAAAAAAATTGACAGAATAAAGTAAACAAATATGAATTTTTTTAAAAAATCAAAAATAAATTAAAAAGATGGAAAATATTTTCAAATATAAAAATTTGAAAACAGTATAACAATTCGAGTACAAAAATGTTTAAATAAAAGAATCAAAAATAAAAATATTAATTTTAAACAATAAAAGATGTAGAAAAATATATTAATATATAAAATATTTTGTACTCCTCTAAATCACAAAGCAATTATCATTACTACCATTATACTACGTATTATTGTTGTTGTTTCGTTTTGTTGCTTTATGTTATTTTTTGTTTATTTTTGTTGATAATTTTTCATATCTTGTTTTTAATTGTTTACTCATGTTTTTTTTGCAAATGCAATTTTTATCAATAAGAATAAGTGTTTAAGTGTTGGTTTTTAATTCGAAAGTCATGAAAATAAATAAAAACTCAAGTGAACAGAAATATTAATAATAAGCACATTAAATAAACAATAAATAATAAAAATTAACAAAAAGCAACAAAAAGCAACACAATACAACAAAAAGAAATACTATAAAACAAAAAGAAACAAAATAGAAAAGCAATAATATAAACATGATGCAATAAAAATGCATTCAGTAAAGAATATCATTTCAATTGACACAAGTATTCATGATCAAAATTACAATTACAAGCTGTAATAAAGTATAAGAAAGTCATAATAAACTCCACCAATAGTAATACAATCCCTCCATCCAATATCCATTAATTTTAAAGACAAAATCTTTTGGGGTTGTTTGTAGCTGCTGGGATTGAAGACCATGAGGGTAATAAACATATGACTTCCACTTTATTCCTTGCATAGCTTGTTTGATTTTCTTCACCGACAATCAATTGATCTGAAATACAAAGAAAGGAATGTCAATAGCAGAGGCTCAAGCCGCCAATGGCAAACAACATAAATTATAAAAACAACATTAATCCCTCGGCCACACATCTGGAGCATGAAATTATTTTAAATGCATGGGAAAAATTCAGAGAAAGCATTTTTTTTATCTGCACAAATCTTTCTTTGAAGAAAGACAAGACAACCTTAAAGATTATTTATTATTCCTACACCTACTACATACTCAAAGTACAGTAGCACAAATTATTATATTTTAAGACAGATGAAGTAACCAAAAGAGAAGATGTATGATCATCCTCCCCTTTTCTAATGGTCATCTTCTTGCTTGTAGAAGGACTCATAAGTTTGAACCCTTGTCCTCGATTCCAGTTGTTCCTTTTCTTCCACAAATCCTGTCGTCATTCTGATAAAATCTTCCATGTGCAGATCCTTCCATTCCTCAAAGTCCCACTCCCCGTACAAGTCTGGATCAGCCTCATTATCCCAAGCATACGTATAAGCCTGAAACACTTCAATTCCGAACTATCCATAAGAGAAACATCAACATTCCTCCTTTCATATTCAACATCCTTGAAGTTATCAAGGATCTCCAACTCGGGAAGAGTGATCCCCCACAGAAGACTTCCATTGACTTTACTTCTTTCTACTGGTAGAATTGCAGGGTAAACACGTCCCTTGATGCTGAATCTCTGATAATGGTGGAGGGCAGTCGGGGAAGAAGGAGGAACGCGGTTGAGGAGGACCCGGACGACGACGTCTGCTTGGAGGCTGCTGTACACAAAAACGTTACATGTTGATTGTGCATTCGCCATAGCTCGCACCGCACAAAGTCTATTTTCTATGTAACCTCACAACTTTGAGAGAAAGTGTGCTTAATTTGACAGAAGCTTGGACCATAAACAACGACTCCAATGCTGCACAATGCCTTTTCCGTTCCACACATCTAGGATATGACATTGAAACACAACCTCCTCCAAGCATAAAACCTGAAACCAACTTGAATGTAAGAGTACCTTTCACTACTCACACTCTAGAAACAGACTTGGAAAAAATAAGCTAGTTTATATTAAAACTATGCTAGATCATCAAATGGTGCATAATTGTATTGAAAACCCAGATAAATATTCAATGAAGAATCAAAATAGAAAAATATAACAATGATCAATAGGTGTTTACTTATCTCTATGACATGAGAGATGATTATTACAAGGTTTAATGAACAACCAATGGCACGTGTGTATGAGAGAACATTATTACAATTCAAGGTGTCAACCTTTAAAACCTACAGCAAACAAAAAAATGAGCTATTAATGAATGAAGATGATCTATGGCATATGTATATAGAGAAACGAATTACATTTCCCAGAATCCATTCAAACGCACATACATGTACAGATTATAATGAATAAGTAAACCAAGAGAGAAAGAGGAGATAAAACCTCAAAGAAGTTTGTTGAAGATGAAATAGAAACATTAGTAATGCAATGAATGTGAACAGAGCCATCCTTAGAGCCAGCGAGAGCGAGGGTTGAATGCAACGACTCCAATGCAATGCAATAGAAACATAAGTGATGTGATGAATGTGAACAAAGCGGATATGAATTCCAAAAAATAGAATTTAATTTCATCAAAATATGGAAATCTGCTCGGAAAAGAAAATCGGATCTGGAATTACAGGTGTGGAGCGAAGAACCTGGCCTGACTCGTACCCCAGGTGTGGAATGACTCAACAGCCACCGGCGAATAGTCTTGAGTATGAACTTTGCCGCCTTAGTCATAGCGCCGCCCGCCGCTTCGCAGAGCCGCTGCTCGCAGCATGTTCCTCCAGCGCCGCAAGTCTGCAGATAAACGATCTCCACTTCGTTGCGACCTCACTCTCCAGGCGATCTCAATCCGCCTTCCAACTACTCTCCTCGGAATCGGACTGGGGGTGCGTCTCTCTCGTTTACGAATAGGTAGAGGTAGAAGACGAGAAAGATATACGTAGTAGGCTATTTTTGAAATAAAAAAACAAAATTGAAAACATAAAAGTTTAAAAGTGAAAAGGAAAAAGTGTTGGGACATTAATGATACACGGGCCATAAAAGTAGCCCAAACGGGTAATTTCCACTTATTTTTAGGAAGTTGGGACAAAATACTATTTGGGCTGCGCAATAACTATTCTTATTTCGACCCAATCAACTTACATAACTTATTTGACATTATATTGGATTCGTATAATAAGATGACCCAACTAAGTATTAGATGGTTCCTATTGTTATGGGCTTGATAAATAGTTTACTTAATCATTTATTAATAATACGCTTAATCATCTTACACATGATAAATAATAGAAAATTAAAATACATAAATTGAACTTTAAAAATTAGTTTTCATTTTTCTGATTATTTATTTATTTATTTATTTATTTATTTATTTTAAAGTCTATAATTTATTTATCTTTTTTACATTAATGATATGTTTTATATTATTATTAGCTTATATTTCAAATTTATATGCATTTTTTAAGATTTATCAATAGTCCTTATTTATTTTTTAAAAAATAAGTTTCTATAGTAGGTGAAAATGGTGGCTTGATTGATCGTATAAAAAAAGAAAATGCATTTGTATAATGGTTTTTAGTAGAAGAAATTAAGTAATTAATTAAAATAGCAAGAAGGGTCTATTTAATCATCTTTCCTAAAATAAATGGAGCACTTAGTAGGTGCATGAAGCTTCTTCATTATTTGGACTGTTTTCAGTCCCAGGTCAAATTAGACTAGATCTGACGAGACCAAACCAGTTCAGATTAGGTGAGACTAGACTTGAATATTTATAAAATACATATAATTGAATTGAATAAACATGCATAATTCTTTAAGAATAATTAATAAAGTAAGCTATAGAAACATTGGAAGCATAAACATGCATAATTCATTGAGAATAATTAATAATGTCTAGAAGAATACATATAAATAAATTTGGTAAAAAACATTGGAAGCATAAACATGCATAATTCGAGTGTCTTTCTTTAAAAAAACATGCATAATTCATTAAGAATATTTTTTTGAACACTCATTACGAATAATTAATAAAGTAATATATCTATAAAAATCAAAAGTTCTAATTTAAAATATAATAATTGCTGACTATATGCTACGTTATATTCAAGCTAGCGTGAGAAATCTGGGTATAAATATTCAATAAATAATGATAATAAGTATGGAGTAGTAATGATTATTAGTAATTTTACAAATGATATATTGATATCTACTATACATATCTATCTATAAACTATAAAGTACGACGTAAAATATATACATTCAATTGTTACAAGTTCGAGAAAAATGACAAGTACTTGCACTCAATTCAATTAAACAATTAAACAATCATAGAATTGAATTTAGTGGGCTTGAACATTATTTGTATGTACTACTACGTAAATAACAACCTTTATAATTAGTATACTTCGTATATAGTTTAATTAGTTTTGAAAGTATTTGTAAAATGAAAATAATATAAGCACTTATTCTCTTGTAACAAATGAAAATAATTTTTGTGTGAAATTATGATAGGATGATTTTTCGAACAAATCTTTAAATAAAAATATTGTATAACGTACCCATATAAATACAACCTTGGAAATGAACAATAATCACTAGGTTTGTTATTTCGAACAAACCTAGTTTTGAACAATAATCTCTTGTACTGCGTTTTGAGAATGTTTGTGATTTTGATACGTGTGAAGGTGGGCAGGTGGCAGAGGTGCTCGATCTCTTTAGGTTTGTTAATTACCTCATGGTCCCATGCATAATGATGGGTTAGATTTAAAACTCTCCTTTTTAAATTTACGATCGAGTAGGTGGCTTGTGCAATTGAGATTTTTTCAGAGTAGGTGCATGAAGCTTCTTCATTAGAGTGGCTTGTCATTGTGGACTGATTACAATTTACACATTTACCCGTAAGAGAGAAACGTAACTAAAGTTTGGTTGATTAGAGCACACCTTAATGTTACTTGAATAGCAAAACAAATTGGCACGGGGTATATATTTTAGACACATTGTTTATATACTCCGTATTATATACTCCGTATTACTTCGATAGCTTTTCATTTTAAACTACTTTGGATGTTTTTGTACGCATATGAGCTTGAAGAAAATGAAAACAGAAAAATTTGAAGTTGAAGTCTCAGCTCATACAAGGAGAACGCATTTCATTACAAAAGAAAATTTTAATAGTATAAAGAAGAAAATAAATTTATAATTGTGAATAGGAATTGTTAAAAACAATTACAATTTTAACAAATTCTGTTAAAACAATTAGGAATCATCTCCATCAGCGGTAGATAGGAGATGAATTCAATGTTTCATGTGGCGGGTACGTTCTCAGTTGAATCACGCCGGCTACCATAATAGTTACTAGGAGTATATCCGTCCCCCAATTCCCCAATTATTAGAACAAAGGAGAGTCATATGATTTTTTTTTAAAAGTAGAGTTATGTAGTTGATAATGAATTAACTATGTAAGAATGAATCGGAACTAAACAAATAATTCGTATTACTAAATACTTCGTATGATATGAGACAAATTTAGTGGGACAGACGAAAAATGAAAAATGAAATAATTATAATCAGATCGAGGGAATATGCGATTTTGTGATTTTCTTTTATATGGCGGTGGGTTTAGCCCAATTAGGGTCTATACCCGTCTCTTTTGCAATATGATTTGAACGTGTTACATTTTGATCATTTATAAGACCTTTCATAAACCCTTTATTATAAATAAATTACACTATTGCGCGCACGGTATTTTTCAATAACTTAATTAACTGACCCGATTTAATTTTAACTGAAATTTTATGGGTATAATCTAAACCTCTTGAAGTACATCCTCATACACTTTCATCAAAACACTCAACCGAAAACCATCTCAAATAGCGGAGGCCGGACGGAGAATTCGGTCCGGACTGTTGGACTCACTACCTTATCATATACTCCCCCCGGTCCCAAATCAACTTCGCACTCACTATTCATTGGTCAACTTAAATCACTCTTAATCTTTTACTTTATATATCAAATTTTTATCAAATTTAAATTTTCTTGATCAAGCTTTGTAGTGATTTTAATGTAGTTTCTGAATATGTAAATTTTATTTACTAAAAATAATTCGAATGTGAACAAGGATCGAGTTGCATTATGATCAGTCAAGCATCGTAAACCGAACGTGAATTTCTTTTTGGACCGGAGGGAGTATGACATTTCTCAATTACCAATCACAGAAGTTACGTACTACGCAAACGGTCTATACTCTATAGCTCTACAGTGAAATGTATGAGTATATCCTTGAGAAAATTCCCTAAATTGAACTTTAAAAAAATACTGTTTATAAATAAGATCATTGATGTTTAATTCCAAAAATAGGAATCATTCATTTCTAAATTGAGAAGTTTTATTCAATCTATTCTTTTAATAGGACTAAATAATTCTTTGTTTGAAGAATAAAACAAATTTAATACTACGGTACTATTTTAACAATTTGTAAGTAATACTCAACATCAACATGCAAATTGTGTTTTGATGATTTATTTGTTAACTGGTTTAAGTGATATACTTAAGCAATACGTCACTTCAACATACTTCGTACTTGTACTTATTTTAGCCATGAATTTCCAACTAACTAGGTACCACATTCTGACATTCTACATAGCATTCTGAAAACACGCCCTGGGGGTCTGGACTCTGGATACATGGTGTCTCGTTTTCCTTTATTATCAAGCAATCAATGTGACAGTGTCGTGGCTGCTTTGTTTCCGATCATTATACTTTGTACTGTCGAAATGTATAAATATAATCATTTTTTTCTTTATTGTAAATGACTTATACGAAGTATTATATATTTATATCACTTGAATTTAAGTAGACAAAAACATATTACCTGATCATGAACCTCGGATATAGCTTAAAATCACTCAAATTAAGAACAATTTGACTCGCTAGTCCTAAAGGATCACATAAACCAAACATGATCAATCTAGTCTAGTATGTAGTCTCTTTGTCACTCATCTTATCAGTTCCATCCCCTTTTTTGGTTCATCCAATACCACATTTCCATCATTTGGATCTTCTTTTTCATGCACCTCCGCTTCTCCCGCTATATAGTTCCAAAAAAGGTTGAATCGCCAACCCCAAGCGCCCCCCACGCCCCGACCCGACAGAGCACATGGGAGGATGTAAGTCACGGTGACTCAGTCAGCAGAGTGGCAGTAGGCCTTTACCCCGTGCGCACCAGAGGCCCAGCCTTATTTCAGGTTCTGTGACCTCCACCCGGTCGCTGCGGGGATTCGAACCTTGGTTATAGTTCCAATTTTCCCACCACTCGACCAGCTGAGCTACCCGTGCGGGTTTCTCCCGCTATATATGTCAAAGGTTGGGTCTTCCTCCTTTGTGAGCGAGCGCCATTTGATATTGCCACTTCTAAGGAAGTCATCAAGTTTTTCATTTCCTTTAGGCCCTGTTTGGTTGGAGGTTTTTGGAGGGGAGGGGAGGAAAGTGGGGGATTTGTGCGTGTTTGGTTGAAGGAAATAGGGGGAAGGGGAGAAAAGTGGAAGACTTCCAAAATCCTCCACTTCCTCCGATACTAAACCCCCCAAATCGGGGTATTTCGGAGGAAACGCGTTGATAACCACAAACTATATTCATCTCCTACGTGAATAGACAAAATGTTATAATATAAAAAGGTAAAAAATAAAAAGTTTTGAAAAATAAAAATATTAAAATTTTAAAGAATAAAAATTAAATAACAAAATATTAAAAAAATTAAAAAATAAAAAATTTAAAAATTGAAATTTTAAAATTAAAAAATTAAAAAACTAAAAAAATTAAAAATATAAAAAATTAAAAGTTAAAAAAATAAAAATTTATAAAATTAAAAAAGTAAAAAAAAAAAATATTATGACTCATGACCATAGGA